TTGAGGAATCGAAGCTTGCATCCTAGAAATGGAAGCTTTTATTTTATTTATCGATGTGCCATAGCACAACTTTAGGGGGGGTCCTAACCTCGCATTTCGAGCTTCGGGGTGGCTTCCAAGTGGACACAATTGATTCGTCACAACATTCAATTCCTCCACTCAAAGTTTGCGGTTGTCTCGGAAGATGGCAATGATTGTCAAATCCAATATTGATCTTCTTGGGGTCCTTTGATGATCCTGAAGATCGAAAGGCATATCTGGTCGATGTATATGAATTAAGGAGTCGATTTCCCCTTGTCATTGTTTCAACAAATTGGATAAATGTGATGCCCATGCAAACTTTCCATTCCTTTCTTTCGGCGTTCACTCTCGAGTACTCTCGATATGAAAAATGACGATCATTCGTCATCATGAACAATGCTTTTGGCTACTTGATAGCAACAACCCAGAAATTGACAAGAAAGCTTAACACATCATCCAAGGGCAAGTATATGAAGTACATATGCATCACTCTGAGGAGCTTTCATCATTGGTGCTGCGTGTAAGAAATCCACCAAATGTACCTATGCAAGAATATCGTGTCCAGGTGTGAGAAAGATTCCCTGGATGGACCACTAAAATCTGGGGAAGGGTCCACTAAAGTATATACAGAGTACTTCGTAGTGATTTTTTGATAGATACCACACGGCAGATGTTGAAAAGTGGAAGGTGGAAATGGAAAGTGGAAAAAACAAGGGAGCGATTCTGGTCAAGAGACGAATGAGAAGACGATATGTTGTGTAAAGCTTGACCTGGTCCAACCTTATTGAGAGTTTTGACGGGATTTTTGTAGTTGCTGATCTTCATAGTGTAGCAATAAGATAGATCAAGCACTGACTAGTGAGCGTATCGACTCCACGGCGGATGGGCAGGGAAGATCCACGCCAGCCCTTTTTAAATATGGGAATGAATGTGGACATTGATCGATAAAAGATCAATAATCTAGATGATCCGAGGAAGAGTACGAGTACCCAGAAGTCATGAGAATCATCAATCCGATCTTATGATTTCGGACAATGCCGTTGTGAGAATCATGCTTCGGTAACGATCCTCTGCTTTGTACGATAAAAGAAACATCAGAGACTTGCAGATTAGATGAGTTCATGGGAAAGTTCATACGATTAATCGTACTGTACTATGTAGTATATACGAGCAATCACGCAATGATACGCCATACGACCGAGATGATCCAGTGAATATGTCGGTAGTTGGACTGGATAGATTCATAAGCCTTTGATTTTCTTTCGATCATTCAATCTAATGATTCTTTATTCACTTGAAGAGTGAGAAATGTCTATCCAGGTAGGTAGTGAGATATCTATTAGTAAATTAATAATAATAAGAATAAGAATAAGAATAAGAATAAGAATAATAATAATAATAAGAATAATAATAAGAATAATAATAAGAATAATAATAAGAATAAGAATAATAATAAGAACAATAATCATAATTATAATAATCATAATCATAATCATGATTATACACCTGAGTTTGAGATACAAAGGAATATGATTATATATTACAAGCTACCAACACATCCTCAGACATCGCACGGAGATGGCTTCCTTGAAGGTCCTTGTCAAAAAACGACGTCAGATACAAATCGGGCTTAGCGTGACAGATTTAGCATCTTTTAGTATAAATTTCTTTGCGGGGAAAGCCTTAGCGGCTGTGAGCTAGACAGGGATAATGAATGTAGCTATCGATGCTGTGAGTGAATCACCTTGACCCCTTCCTCTTCCTCTTCCTCTTTCCCTTTCCTTCATAAAGTTTAAGTCGATCTGATTCCCCTCTCTTACTCTATGGTATATATCAACGAATGATTCTTCTTATCTTTCCTCTCTTTCCTCTATTTCCTCTCCTTCCTATCAATTCAAATTCAACCACTACACTTTCTTCATTCCTCAAGAAACCACTTCTACTTCATACCTTCCTTCTTTCTCCCTAACCCTTCTAGATTTCTCTCTCTCTTTTCATACCATCAATTCTACTTGAGATTGTAGAACCTCACATAACCCCATACACTTTCCAGCAAGTCCACACGAAAGATTAAGATCTTACCCCACCCACACCACACATACACAAACACTCACACTCACACACACTCACACTCACACTCACACTCACACTATAAAGTTACCAACCATTAGGTAGGTGACTTCAACGAAGAAACCGATAAGAAAGAGAACAAAGAAACTCGTGGGGATAGCTCCGTTGATATCAATTCTAAGTAAATCGAATCTCATCTACTCAACGACAAAGAAATCCTTATCAAACACGACACAAATCGAGTATATCAGCTTCGACCCATTACTCCGAAGCTGAGAGAGCAGCTTACGGCTATCTGAAGAATCTCTCACTCGAAACTCGCCTAGATTCAACAGTCAAACCACCAACATCACCGTCGTGATATTCAACCAAATAAATTCCCTACCTTTACAGTTACAATCCAAACGCAGATATGTCTTCAAACGGCAATGGCAATAACGGTGCCACTACACCTCCAAACGAACCCTCTAGACCTCGCCGTGGTTCCATCACTGCACAAACATTCACCAACATCTTTCGTTCAAATAGTACATCGGCCGGAGGTCCGGTCGGTCCGTTCCCTGGTCCTATTAGCACAGGCGCATCTCATGATCACAAACGAAGAATGTCAATCTCTACACTTGGTTTATCTGGTGCTGGTGCATCTCCTACGCAATCGTCAGTGTTTCCTTTCGGTGGTCGACGTGGTAGTGTATCAACTACAGCTTCTGAATCAATTGATGAAAGTGCTATTGATGATGAGGATGGACCTTCTAGAGGTACACCAACTACACCTTTTGCACGTCGTATGTCATTTGGTGCTCAAGCACTTCGAACTGTTCGTACGGGCAGTGGTAGCCCGGGCGCAAATGGTAGAACTCCTTCTTATACTACTTCTACATTATCCCCAATTCCAGCAGGTTCACAAGGTGGTGGTAGAGTAACCCCTCCAGGAACTCAGTCTCAACAGGCAAGCACGCAATCAAAACCCAGAACTCCCTCTGACTTTGCTTCTTCTGCTCGTCCAGGTGAAGGCGGTTTCAACTGGTCTGAGCAGCTTAGATCTCGTGCCGAGAGTCAAGTCTCTCAATCCCAACGTCCGATCATGTCAACCTCTCCCCCAAATAGTCAAAGATTTAATGTTCCAATGCATGAGCGAGCCAAGAGTATTGGTGACGCCCCAGCCCCACCCACTTCCGTCATTCCTCCTGTCGCGACACCAAAGCCCGCTCGAAAGCAACCAGATGCCTTCCAAGAACGTATTTTGAAGGGCGATTTCTACATGGATTGATTACTATGAATACGCACACAAATTTCCTTTTGTCTTTCTCGAGCAAGAGATTGAAAATGAGCAGGAGTGAATCTCTCAAACTTATGGCGTTGTTTGATCAAGTATCAATGGAACAAAGGAATTTCTTTACAGCTATCGATTATAACCATCTACAATTGCTTTCGCTACGATATGACAAGGGCACGGAGTATCAGATCTGCAGAATCGAGGTGGAACGGACATAGTGAACGATGGAAACTGAACCATTGAAAATATCCACAGCTCTAGGGAGCAAGAAATGGAAAGAATATAGGATTAGGTGAACGGATATCGGAGTGTACGCTGGACGTTTTATTTTCGAAATTTATTTTACTTCTTGGTTGAGGTTCAAGATGCTAGCTATAAGGCTTACTGGGCCCAGAACATGCTCAACGGAGCAAACGATACAATTAAAGAAAGAGATCCTGAGCAGGCTGGCGCTCTCGGACAGATGTGTGAGATGGAATACATGGATGCCTTTAAAAGATCCAGATTGATGATTGATGAACTTCTTTGTATTGCTGGCGCTTGTACTTCGCTGGGATTGTAGGCGGGTGGTTTGGCATGGCCTTACTTGCTTACATGAATGAAATGAAACGATATGTTGGGATTGGGATGGCATGGAATGTTTAGTTTAAGCGTTTGAGCCTTTCACGCAGCTGGCCTTCTCCTTTTCTAAATTGTACTTTACATGAACAAATTAGCTAGCTGTTCTCGGTGGACCTTCACAATGTCGACGAGCGGATAGAATTGGAATTCAAAAAACATGTTAAAAGCAATCTCGATCTCGATCTGGGTTTTACTTGTGACTTTTATGTTCATTTCCTTGGCGCATTTGAAAGCGTACTTGGTGTGTGTATCTTCATCTCCTCAAGCTTCGATGGGAATAACCTCACAAATCTACTACCAGAATCCAAGTAGATATTAATAAACCCGAACATACACTGTTGTATAACTACTAACCCATAGTTAATAACAATTGATGGATTGATGGGGGCAAGCCCCCAAACCCCCATTGCTCGCTGCGCTCGAGGTGTTTGGCTGGTGATGAGTGTGTGTGTGTATATATATTCCTCTCTACTTTACCCGAAAGATTGTAGAAAGTTTGGAATGTGAATGAGGTTGTTTGCTCGTCGAGGGGGAGTAAGGGGTTGATCGCTTGCTTGTTGGATGGGGTTGGGGAGAGGGTAGGATGGGGGGTGACATGGAGATGGTGAAGCGCATACACATCCGTATGTATGTATATATGAAAAAATGAGATGACTTTGAATGCATGAATGATGATACAGGAATGCTATTAAAAAAAAGTCATAGAGAATCGAGGACTAGCATCATGGGTTATGAGCAAACTCTGAGCTTGTATTAATCTTATTTATTCTTTTATGACTCTGACTCTAATGTCCTACATAGAAATGAAGGGTTGTTGAATGGAGGAGGTAAGGTAAGGCGCATACTTCTTAGTATGGTACGGTATATCTTTACCTGTATCTGTTTCTCTCCTCTTTACCATAGGAAATCATCGCTCCAACAAATTGGTATATTTACAACATTCCCTTCGCTTCCTTTTCTCTATCCCTTTTTATCTCAAATCTGCTCTATTTTTAAAACCACAACATTATGTCTACGATTTAATCATGAAAATCTGTTGAACGATTAGCTTTCGACGAACACAAAGTAGAGAAATCCGCTGGAAGTAATAAGAATACGAACCTGGTTTAAACTTGCAACATCCATACTAGCCATCCTCTTCTGCGCAATATGTCGAGCTCGTATAGAGCGTATACCCATAGGTGCTGATCTTGCACTACTTTCTGAGACTATTGGTGTGCTCTCCTTGGTGGAGGCTTCGGATGTGGAGGATGATTTGTGTTTATCTTTCTTGGATTTTTTGGAGGATTTGGAGGTAGAGGTTGTTTCTTCGGTGTCTACGCCTGCCGCCTCTTTCTCTCTTCGCTTCTTCTCTTTCTTTTCCTTCTTGCGTGCCTTCAGTGCGGATTCGTCTAAAGTTTCATCTTCTGATTCGGAGGTAGATTTCGATTTCGACTTGCGATCTTTCTTGGATTTTTTCGATTTCTTGATTTCGGACTTGTCTTTATCATCCTCATCTTCACTCTTCCTCTTCTTGCTCTTCTTTTCCCTTTTCTCCTTCTTCTCCTTCTTGCTCTTCTTGCTGGATGTCTTCTCTTCGTCTTCCTGTTCCTCTCTCTTTCGTTTCGACGGCTTCTTCTTCTCGGTCACAGGTTCTGGTGATTTCTCTTCTTCCTCCTCATCTGAGCTAGAATCGCTTTCCTCACTACTATTCTCTGCTGCCTTCTCTTTAATCTCCAAAGCCTTAAGTCTCTCCTTCTCTCCATCAATTAAATCCTGAATCTTATCACCAATCAAAACCCCTCCCTTGACAAATCTAATACTCCCCCATTTCCTCTCCGCGTAAATTGCCCTCTTTAAGTCTTCCCTTCCTTTCTGTTCCTTTTCGATTTCCGCTTCTTCTTTTCCATTCAGCCTCCCTAATAAGTTTTGGAAAACGTCTAAACCTGTGCACTCCCCATGTCCTACTCCACTCCCTATTTTCGCACCCAATCCTAATGTATTATCTTTAATCACCACACGAATGTGCGACGCATTAGCTTCGGTATGAAATTCTGCATGCGCGGCATCTTTTGCTCCAAGATATTCACCAGGTGTCCAGCCCTGTGATTTCATCATGCGATGACCGAAACTGTCGGTATTTCCAGACCATCTTGTATTATTTGGATCGTGGGAGAGTTTTATTTTGCTAGAGGAATGTTTGTTAGTTTGTAATTTATGAGAAACAATTGATTAATAGGAGTGATGGAGAGGGAACACACTTCTTAGGAGCAGCGAGACCCATCTTTGTGGTGGAATTGGGTGTGGTGATAAAGAATTGAAAATAAAAGAACGTTTAATAATGTTTTGTTTGGTGTTGATGGATATCGAGAAATCGGAGAAAAAAGTGGTCGGGAACTTTTTGTAAATTTTTGTGGGGTAGGGATATCAAGATAGTAAGCTAGTGTCTGATTGGCTGTGATGGGGAGCTTGAATTTCACATGCATCTCATGATTCTCGTCTCAATGTCCATTCATATACATCCTCAAGAATTCGTCTCATCTGATATCTGATATCTGATGTCTCCAAACTCCAAATTCATCAAGCATTCCTCACCTCATTTTGACACACACCGAATGAACTTCTTCAACACACGATACTCACGTTCCCCATACTCTCATTCGCAATGCCAGGTCGATTCACCATGGATGACGATGCGGGATCCCTCGTTTCCCAAGATTCTGTTCCAGATATGGATTTTGTCGAGAGAGCCAACCAAATGATGGCTGATGTATTGATTCCTTTTATATCCTTCTTATACTCAGACTAACAAGATACCTTCCAGACAAAAAAGCGCCGTGATGCAAAGCGTAACAAGATTGAAAATGAACGTGCTCAGCGCACCAAGGAAGTCAGGAAGAAGCTTGGTGTTTTGTATGAGAATAAGAGAATCCAAAGGTGTGTCTTATTCTCTTGCAATTCATCATTCATTCTCATCCAGTATCCATATCTTGCACGGGATACAATGCCACAATTACAGCTGTCGAACCCGAGTTTAGGCTTACACGAAAAACTCATATGGTCTCTTACTAACGACCAGGTAGAGGCAAACTTCAAAAGGCTCAGTGGAAACAACTTCATTCCCTGGACAAGAAACGCCAAGAACTTGAACGTCGCATATTGGACAGCATGAAAATCATCGAGAGTAATACTTTGAGCATAGCTCGAGAATTTAACGCTGTTATTCTTGCTCGTTTGAGTGCCATGGAGAACCTGACCGATATCAAGGACGCTTCTTGAAGATATGTCCGTGCCGTGTACTACGTTTCTGTGTCAGCTATTGATATTGCCATGGAAGGTTAACATCTAAGATTCAAATGTTGCTATTCATTATCGCTATACACATACTCACTCATAGAACACATACTTATTTTAGGGCGTTGAACACACGGAATGGGTAACCTGGGTTAGGAGTACCATCGGAAGATACCCCTGAGGGCTTGCTTATTCACATTGCACATTATTAGCACAATATCAAACACTCGTCTTTTCACTGACATGCAGTTCCCAAACACTTCCAAAGTCCCACTTGAGTTTTCTTTCATAAATCTTACAATTCCTCATGCCGCTGCCTTGGTATCCGTACAATGCTATATTACAATCAAAACCCCGTATCCTCCTTCCAAAACCCAACAATCCTCCCTAACTCCGCAATCCCATTCCTAACCGAATCAATAATAACCTTAGCAATTCCCTCTCTCTTCCCCTTTCCTTTTCCAGCTCCTCCTGGCATATTCGGTTCCTCACTCCCCATAGTGGGCAACACATTATCACTCGCAGACAAAGACACAAAAAGTGCGAACGGCGTCAACCATACACACAATCCGAAATACGAAGCTATCTGTGTGAAATCCGGATATCCAGACGTATCATAGATGGAAGTTGGGTTTTGTATAGGACCTGCTGCGAAATGGCGAAACCAAAGATAGTGGTTTACTAATACCAGAGCTAATGCCTATCATTAGTCTTCTGTCTAGACTCGAGATTGGGGAAAGGGGGGAAGGACATACCGCATGAAATGAGGAATAGCGGATTGCTCAAGTGGACAACTGGGAATCGCCTCATGTTCCCCAAATAGACCAGATGAGAGAGGATACTCATGATGCTGAGTTTGAAACTAAATCCATCGACCAGACATAGAAGGGCTTGAATCCCAATAATCGCATATATCATTCGAGTCAAGAAGCGCTTTGCCATCACCGTGTGTTCCTCGACGAGCTCGGAAAGATAGTATAATCCAGAGGCTACATTATATACAGAGTCAGTATTCGCACATACACATACAGAAAAACCAGCATCGTCAATGAATTCAGGAGACCCGACCAAGAAATTCGAGCTCAAGAGCATAGGATAAACTTACCAATGGCAGTAGTCAGGAAACCAAACCCAACCGCCACGCCCAGATATCCGACAATGGGTAAGATCCACATGATGTTTGAAAATTGACAGTGAGATGTTACGAGTGCTGCATTATGTTTGCAGAGGTAAAATGTGTAAATAGGAGGGGTTCTAGTTAGCTGTTCTTTACCTTACCCCAGATCTTCGGTTCGGTTAATCTTCGGCATGTTTTTCTGGTACCAGAATTTTTATCTTCTTATCGCATTTATTCGCATCGAGTATTGATATGTTCGTGTGTGACAATTCAATTCACTTTTTTTTTATTTTTTTAGAAAGACCAGTGTAAACCTTGGACATTCATTTTTCCTTGGGTATATTTCCATAACCAAGTAAAATCAACGTCAATTCCCCAATACAAAAATGTCTCGCCCAGAAGATACACTGTAAGAATTCCCCTCGTCCCCTCCCCTCCATGCGACAATTTCCCATTCCCGTTCCCATCTTCCTAACACACTCTAGCCCCCCAGATCTTCACTACAATGACACCGAAGCGCGCAAATACACTACTTCCTCCCGAATCCAAAACATCCAAGCGAGCATGACCAACCGGGCCCTCGAGCTCCTCGATCTCACCACCCCCTCTCTCCTCCTCGACATCGGCTGCGGTTCCGGTCTCTCAGGCGAGATCCTCTCCGCCGTGCCCGAAGACGAGGGTGGGCCACACATTTGGGTCGGAATGGATATTAGTGCTTCTATGCTCGACATCGCCTTACAGCGCGATGTAGAGGGCGATTTGATGTTAAGCGATATTGGGCAGGGGATTCCCTTTCGAGCCGGAAGTTTCGATGCCGCGATTAGTATTAGTGCGATTCAATGGTTGTGCAATGCGGAAAGTAGTGAGGTGTCGAGTGCAGGACGACTGTCGAGGTTTTTTGGAGGATTGTATGCTTCGTTGAAGAGGGGAGGAAGAGCTGTGTGTCAATTTTATCCGAAGAATGATCAGCAGAGAACGATGATTACCGGTGCTGCTATCAAGGCTGGTTTTGGAGCGGGTATTTTGGAGGATGATCCGGGTACGAAAAATGCGAAGTTGTATTTGGTTTTGACGGTTGGTGGAGGAGATGTGGAAACTAGTAATGGAGATATTACGGGAATAGTGAAGGGAATGGATGGAGTTGATGTGTTGGATGCTAGGAAGAAGCATAGAGAGAAGGGTAGAAAGGATGTGAAGAAAGGTAGCAAGGCATGGATTTTGGGGAAGAAGGAACAGATGGAAAGAAAAGGAAAGGTGGTTAAGAATTCGAGTAAATATACAGGACGGAAGAGAAACATTGCTTTTTAAGGGGCTTGGTTTGGAAAAGTTCACGTATGTATTTGCATGCAATGGCGTTGGGGAGACTGGGGTACGGAGTGTCATGATATCAGTTAATTTAACATTGAAAGACATATTTTGTGTAACTGCAGGGCTCGAATGATGATGATGATGCCATGCCCATATTTCTAACAATTGAAACCCGTAACAACCTTGCCATCTATAAGCTTTTCTGAATGGCCTAGTGTACCACTCTCGAAGTAGCGAGACAGTCCAAGAGGGGTGTACAAATAGACAAAATACCCTCTGTACATACTCCAGTCTGCCCTCACGGCAGTAGTCTCTGAAGGGTCAGCGGTGCGTTATATTGCATTGATGTTTCTTAATGATGGGGGCGAGCCCCCAAACCCCCATTGCTCGCTTCGCTCGAAAGTCCTTTTGTCATTGGCTCATCCCCCATGATGTTTGAATTCAAGGACAGAAGCGAACTCCGGCAAAATTATGGGGAGAGATGTGGTAGGGATGGGAGGATCTTTGAGACGAATGTCAATTTTTTGAACCTATATGCTAGTCTTTCTGGCTGCTTTCAAAAGAAAGAGTGTAGAATGCCTCCGTTCTCTGTAATCGAAATCATCCCAAACACCTTGATAGCTGTATTGCTGAATTTCGAAGCAAAATTAGAAACGACAAATATCACTTCAAAGTCAAACAAAATCTGCGGATATAATGAATTTTTAATGCACTTCAACCCCTTAATGTACACTCCGATCCATCTAGGGTATTCTTTATACAGTCTATCCACCAATCTATGCAGCCAACTCCATCTTATCCAAAATAGCACGAGTGAATTGGTTAGTTGAGCTGTTTCCTCCCATATCACGGGTTCTAACGGCCCTGTAGGAATATTAGTAACTTGTAGACATATAGCTCATGATTGGAATCACTTACCCTTCAGCAATAACATCATAGACAGCCTTGGAGATTCTGTTAGCGTGGTCATCAAGACCAAGATGTCTCAAAAGCATGGAACCAGAAAGAATCATAGCAGTTGGGTTAGCTTGATCCTTGCCCTTGATATCTAAACCAACATGACGGCACCCAGGTTCGAAAACAGCAACTTCACGTCCCATGTTGCATCCAGGAACAAGACCTGGACCACCGACCAAAGCAGCACCAACGTTGGACAGAATTCCTCCGTATAAGTTAGGCATAACCATAACATCGAATTGTTGTGGTCTGGATACACATTGCATAGATGCGTTGTCGACAATCATATCGTTGGTCTCCAAAGTGGGGTAGTCCTTAGCGACATCGTTGAAGGTTTTGCGGAAAAGACCATCTGCAAGCTTCATGATGTTGGCCTTGTGAATACAGGTAACCTTCTTACGGTTGTTGGCAAGAGCAAAGCTGAATGCGAATTTGGCAATTCTCTCAGACTTAGCGCGGGTAATGATCTTAAGAGATTCAACAACACCTGGAACCGATTGATGTTCCAATCCAGAGTATTCTCCCTCAGTGTTCTCACGGATAATACAAAGATCGACATCCTTGTGGCGAGTGTTGTAACCTGGGATGTTCTTAATGAGAACAATGGATGCGTAGATATCGAGTTCTTGTCTGAGTGCGACGTTGAAAGATTGGTGACCAGATCTCTCGACAGGTGTGTGCAAGATACCCTTAAGACCAAGCTTATTTCTCTTCAAGGATGCTATTGACTCCCGGAACAAGTCCTCGGAGTGTTTGTCTCCAGTTTCAACACCAGATACATCAACCTGTTCCCATTCGACCGGTACATTGTCTGCTTTGAAAATTGTCTTTACAGACTCGGCAACCTCGGCTCCAATACCGTCACCAGGAATCAAAGTAACGGTATATTTTCCACCATACTTTGTAGGCTTAAAGATGTCGGATTGAACAGTTGCGAAAGTTCTAGTGGGAGCGACGTGGGCGGTTCGCAAAAGGCTCTGATAAGAAGTTGGTATTAGCTTGTGACAAACTAAGAGAGAGCCATAGACATGATCTGCAAATTCAGAATATGCGATTGAGAATTCTTTATTAATTTACATACTTGCGCCGACCTGACAGAGTTTCTTGCCAGCATCTTAAAAATGAGAGAATATTAAGGATTTTTGGTAGGTTGATTGTGTTAAAGAAAGCCGCAAATATTCAGTTGGTCGGAATACCCGTGAAAAGGTAGAGTTTAACCCGGCTGGAGATAATCAGCCTTTACCTAATTGGGAAACGGCATGTGGAATCGGTTTGTCACGGAGCGGAATTTCACGCTTCACTCGATTTTTTCACATTAATTAATCTTCGGAAATTCTAACCAAGTATCATCATACGTATATCTACAGAATGGATTGGTATAATTCGTGTATATTGGTTCTTGAATATGTATTTTTCTATTCGTGTGATATGTTAGAGGAGAGATTGGAACGTATTTTCTTATGTGTTATATACATCGATACAGGTACCGTAATCTCAGTATTTGATGGGAAATTATAAATGCCATTACGTTTACTACCTATCGAGGTATCTTGCACGTGTCTAGGTAGAATGGGCGCTTCATTGAGATTCAATATGACGCTTCTCTGGGCTACTACCATGGAGGTGGAGGCTATTTCACTTCGCTCTAGTTCTAGAACAGTATCTGCATACACGTTGGAACTTCAATTAATCATACTCTTTCTTATGCCTGTTATACGCTACTGTCTGTATCATCGAGGGGTAGTCTCGCCTTGCGGGGAAAGCTCGGGCTCCATTCTCACGGTCATTATTTCTATGCATATCAGAATTGAGAGGAGACGAAGTAAGCCCCTAGTAGTCTGTCTCTCTTTCATTCAACTTCAGTGGAATCTTTGATACACTCGGGTATTGGTTGATGTATTAAAATACTTGGATACAAGGCGATGGGACTTTGGGTGAGGTAAAAACACAGAATTGTAATGACTTGCGTTTGTCTCTACATGAAGCCTAAAAATACTCGTGTAGACAGCGGCATATTAAATTTGAGATTTCGAAAATCTTGGGGTATTTGGGCTATATGAGGAAGTTAGGATGCTAGTTCTCTGAGCATTTAAGTCTCGGTTCCTGGAATGTAGTGGGAAAGAGTAGTAGACACAAACTCACAAAGCCATTGTTCTCAAGATTCATGGAACCGTTCCCAGCATATCCCGAAACGGGGCATACTCAATTCTTTGACAACTTTGGGACCTTTTCGATTGCTAACGACCTAACTAGCACCGTGAAAATCTATGAGAAAGCTCAAGATGCTAATCACTCAAACATGGCAGCGGAACCCAAATCAACACCATGCGAATTAATCAGCACCTACTATCAGACATGTAACCATGTTACAGTATCTCTTCATCACGCTACTCGCATCATACCATCCAAATCATCCGATCCTAAGTCATCTGCTACATCTACTACCCCTGGCCAAATCATAACAACCTGTCCACAAGTGATCCATAACCTATCACTCCCTCCTCCATTAAACCAACGGCAAAAGTCCGACACAGCACTTTGTCCCTCGATCTTAAATCGTACACTCATAAATTCAGGATATGGATGTCCAGATTGCGAGCCAGAGTATCATCAATCAATTGATTATACCACGACAGGACCAGGTCGTCAGGGTGAGAAAATAGTGGATGAAGAGAAAATAAAAAAGAAGAGGCTTGAGTGGTGTATGCTTGCTATTACTGAGTGGGAGGCTAGGAAAGAGGCAGCGCTCGGCGATGGACCATCGGGAAAAACGGTTGGATAATCCAAGAGGAATGAAAGATGATGTACTAAACTTAATGCTTTACAATAAAAACCAAATCCATCTGCCAAGATCGCGGAGTTTTTGAGAAATTACATAACTCTGGTTCTATCTCCTTATATGTAAAGTGTGCTCCTATCAATGAAGTGTGCTAGCCCCTCAAATACCTAGCTAACATTGAAGAAACTTATATATCAAGTACTGCAATAGTCGAGTCAAAAATTTGGAGGGCCAATCCGATCCAGGTTATATTTCCGAGTTAGCTCCAAGCAATCTTGACCTTCTATCCGCAAGAATTTTCAGTCCTTTTGATTTTTGATATTGTAGCATTTAAGCAACGATTCGTTATAAGCTTTTGATATCTGGTTCCATAGCTCTGGATGATTGGTAGGATCGTAGTGGAGAAATTGAAGGGCATGGTAAGCTTCATGAACAGGACAGGTGGTTGGTATGGGAAGTCGAGTAGTAGGATAGGTTTAATAGTCGAAAAGAGTAGTAGGCAATAGCATTCGCGGTAGTAATGCCTGTATCGGAGGTCGAGTACTAAGATGAAGTCGATAACTGTAAATCTTAGTAGGTAGCACCATTGGCAGTACTGGCCTTGGGCTTAGATAGACGGAGAGATTATTCGGATGAAGACGAGTAGTAAAATAGGCTTGATATTTGGGGGGGATTGTAAGCATTTTGCGTTTGTAAGTCAAGCAATATACCAAGTGGCTCAATCTTCCCTGTGAAAGTTTGGTATTTGGGTCGCTGGAAATCATGCTAAAAGGCGGTTGCCGGAACTCATTTGTCCGTCTCGAGCCTTCCCCCTACCTATATCCATCGAAAGGCTCAAGTCCCTTGTATTGGATAGAGGATTATTACTAAAGCTTGAGCTTGAGCTTGAAAGCAAAGAATGAGAGGCTGTTATGTAGTATACTTGGAGAGAATGGTAGATAGACAGTGTTCTTATGCAAGTGTAGTGCAGTCTTAAGCCAGGAGAAAACGGTGCCAACTATCAACTATCTCCCACCTCACCCTCAAATGACGGCAAATCAACAAAATCTTAGACGTCGTTCTTTGCACGCCTAGCGGCTGGAAACACTGCCGTAAAAGTTCGAATAACATGCTCGAATTCTGAGGGATTCAACCGAGGTCGTTTTCGCGTGATTGAGAATGACAGTAGTATCCCCAGCACCAATTTCACATGATGCCCTTTCGGTCATGGATTAGATTGCCTCACAAAAATAGCAAACCTGTGAAGAGAATGACTTGTTCCCTCAAAGTAGGTGTGTACTATGAAATTCTCCTCGGTTTGCATCTATAGAGTATGTAGTTATCTAGCTCCAACGGGAGCATACCCTTGTTGCGTATCCCCGAGTCCAACATTTAAGCCTTTTCTCTTATCCACAACTTTTCTCACCGCTGCCCAACCAAGCAAGCCTAAAGTACCAGCAATGAAAGTCAGTACCACAATCTGATCCTTTCTACTATCTCGTTGAAAGCACGTTGTAAAAACGTCTTTCTCCTCGGCCTCTTTACATATTGGTAGTCGCTGAGCGAGACAGAATGCTCGATTACACATAGTGCATGTTGCAGCTGGGGCACGAGAGTCGTGCTTCGAATCTGATTTATCTGATGAAGAACTCGAATGTGAAGACAAGGGAATGATGGTGCTATTCGTAAAGCAAGTACATTTGCAAAAAGATGGCGGCGCTTTAATAACAATTAGCAAGTAAGGAATCAATGATATTGAACAGGTACCTACAATCCGCTATTGTTAAAACAATCAATGTACACAATAAAAGCAAGAAGTATATGCCCCTCATCTTTTGTTATCTAGGGATGTGTCAAGCACTTTGAATACTGGGCGTTTTAGATTACTCAAATATTGGTGAGATTCCTGTTGATGGACGAGAAAACTTTCAATCAATATGCTCCAACATGAAGACCTCTCGATGTCACAATTGATGTTCTGGTGAAGTTGTTACTATCATCGTTTTGTGACGATGTGCTTCCCCGGCTGTAACAACAAGTCTAAGGATGCACATAATAATCAAAGTGAGCTAGTACTTTTAAAGACTAGCTCGCTTTGGTCCAAAAAGTTCAAGCTCAAAGAGTTATCCAAATAACTGCATTACACTTCAAACTACCAATCCACTCACAATGCGCCGAATAACGAGAATAGATAGGTCTGTTGACCTCTTACGTACCCGGTCTATATCACAAAACCCGTTCGCATATCGTTGCTCAGCATGCAGAAACCAAACTTCTTCATTCTCAACTTCTCTAAGAGGGGCAGACAAAGAATCACTTGGCCAGCGAGTGCGACGAAGTCTATTCAAACAATCCACCGCCACATCTTCAGATCCTTACACCGGGCCTAGTCAATTGTTAGCGAAAGAAGCGGAACCAAAATATGAACGGAAAGAGATAAGAGCACCTGAGGATGCTGAAGATTATCAGCCGGCAGACAATGGAAAGGAATTGGAGGTCATTGGTGGCTACGAGGCTTCCTGGGGCGAGGAGTTGGATGCCCGGTATCCATACAAACTGTTTTTCCCAGAAGAAAAGATCGAGAGTTCTGCGAAAGCGACTGCGGCGTTACATCGTGCTTTAGTCGAAGTTTTCGCCTTGAGACAAGCTGGAAGGCCACTGTCGGAGATTTCTCAGGGTCAGCCCGGTACTGATTTCACTGAGAATGTACAGATCAGTCCTTCGGATTCAGGTGCTATCTTAAAGTTTTCAGAAAATGGTTCTCTAGAACAGATAATCCAATCATTGTCACCACCCATTGCGCCTCCCAAAAAGGGCAAGCAAAAGCGTAAAGCTCGTCTCGCTGCAACCTCCTCTGTCGATGAGACCTCAACAAAGACTGCGCCTACGGAATCTGAAGAAGATGTAGCTGCCGACAGGTCGCACATAGATCCTTTACACCCAGATCCTACACCAAAGATTGATGAGACTGTGAAGAAGGGAAACCCCACAGAATCGGAAGAGGACGTCGCTGCGGATCGTTCAACCGTGGATCCATTGAAGGATAGTGCTGAAGCACTAGTCGCAGCTTGGGGAAATTCGTGGCTCCAGATTTCTCTCGCTGACCCAGCCATCAAATTTGCTGTAGGTTATACCAGAAACATATTTGATGAAACATTCACTGATAATTTACAGGTTGTTAAACGCACAATGCAATTAACAGGTCAAAGAATACCCGATCATGCCATCAATCATTCAAACACGGCTGAAAAGCTTTTACAACATCTCATCACTCCACCTAAACCTCCTACCCTGAACAAAGCCTTAGAAGAAGAACAGATACTGTCATTACCAAATGTCAGTGTTATTGGAAAACGTGTTACGCCAATTGACAAGGAACGAAACATTGGAAGGTTGAAGGTCATCAGGCAAGAATTCAAATCTCGAGGATTATCACAATCCCAAGATAGTGGGTGGACCGGTCGCCAGCGTAATAGGGAAATATGACCTGTGTAATTTGTACAGTACTCTATCATGACAAAATGTATTCTGCCAAAAGAGTACGAAAGACAATCAGGCACATGCACTATCCCTTGAATTTACACTGATTAATCTATTCAGACTTTTGCTTCTGGCTCGCTTCAAGACGTTCATAGCCTTTTTCAGCCGAGTCTGCAACTGTATAATCTTCTAACCTCGTCATTGTTTGCAGATGTGAATTGAATTGATAAGAGACAATATCTAGAGAGTAAAAAACGAAGGTGACGTACGGCAAGTGCTCCTGCTGGCACCTTCACGTACATCTCATGCTTCAAGCTTCAATAAGTGTCGTGGTTTATGCCTAACTAGTCATTATCACAAACCCCTTACTTCATTATTTCGCTCCGTACTTCCCACACATTCGCTTTGCAGTAGCCGTCTCTTCTTATCGTTTCAAGCAGTGGACTTTTCAATTCGCAATAGGAAATCCATTCAGCTCAATTCTCCTTTGCATAATCATGTAGGTTAGCTGTAAATGACTCTGTTTGTGCCATACATTGAGGCCCACAGGCTGACTCGATCAAGGTCACAACTCTGACCTGGTGACACGATACAGAGGAGATATAATTCAACAACCTAGAAAGAAGAGATATTTCTCTGATACCCCTCTCTATTTGTTTCTCCCGCGTTTATCACACATCTTTTGGATTTCCCCCATGAGCTATTCACCTACTCTCCTACCAAACAAAAGTGTATCAAAAATACCTAAATATCCATTAGTTGAGACTACTCGAAATCTAAACGTGTTGGATGCAGAACCGTATCTGACTAAGAAAAGTCTATATCGTTCCCTACCCTTCATACTTAACCGAGTTCCCCTACACAGCAGTCCCATATTCTCATTCGCTATTCGTCGACAGCAGCTGAGATTTAGGTTTCCAGCTCTTCGAAATTCTCTTGAATATTTAATCCTCATTGTAATCTGCAAGCGCTTCGAAATTGTTTCTTGTTGTACACTACCCAGGTATGATATATAAATCCCTAGTGACTACAATTGCGGCATCGAAGAGGTGATTGGGAAGCGATATCTTAACGCAATTCGTTTGAACAGACAACGAGAATTCAATCATTTCAAGATCTTAAAAGTCTACTTACAGAATTTAGTCAGAATAATCTCACCCTATTCCAGAAGAATTTGTTGTGTTAATCCCTTCATTAAGGAGACCGGTGAGTATGTTAGCCTGTCAAACAGGTGGGAGGCGTGTAATATTTTCCAGTTGATTCCTGGAAGATAGTTTGGATATGCAAAAGTTCGTAGGAGAGTGAACATGCAAGCTGTCATGTAGGAGATCTATATGCAAAAATTGCCAAATCATGGGATGGATATTCTCAATGAAAAGGCGATATGGTTAGAGTTGGCTTGTTAGGGTATCCGGATATTGAAGATATCAGTAGGGAACAACATAAAACACATTTTCTATACCACGAATTCCTAGCACCATATTTACAGTCTAAATCACATCAGATACACACACACACACACATATTTCACAATCACTATCCCAAGAAAAAACCCCAATTCGGGGAAAATAATAATAAAATGACATTTTCGAAGCCAGCAGAAATCTCCCACTTTCCCCAAAAAAAAGACAGAGACTCCCACCTAAACCTTATCTAAAGCATGTCATCCCCCTGAAAAATAATCGAAACACTATTGTCCCCCATTCTAGCTACCAAAATTCTCTCGGAAAGAAAATCCCAGCAAACTATTCCCAAGCTCCAACAATATTCGACATCTGTGGTGAAAATAAGTTGAGGAGATCTCAGCTTTTGCTAAGATTCCAACATCTCATGTTTTTTGTGTTTGGTATCCCAAAGTGTGTCTGCCGATCGATATCAATGATATGATATGATATGATATGATGATATGACGACGACGAAGAAGTGAAAAGTATATGGTTTTTATGTATACTTTTTGAGAAAAAAGTAATAATGAATCGAAGTTTCCAACGGCGCACCAGTCTAGCGCAATCTGTGTACTGCAAAAAGTCTGGTCTAGTCGACAGAAATAAATGTAATAAGGAAGAGGAAGCAAGGAAATGTATCGAGGTATCGCTACAATTAATCGAAAAGAATTTCACGAGACGAAAGTTTTCGTAAGCAGCGTGTTATCCTGTTCTCGGCGCGATATCGTAGGCAATGGTATGGAACCACTTACAATTGCGCAAGCGCAATATCGGCAGCGTAAGCCAAAGCGAACGCATCTCTCTTGGCCTTGCGGCAAGGTTGTCCTGGGCGTCCGCACCATGCCTCAGCATTGGCCTCCGCCTCAGCAAGAGCTTCGCGCTTGCATGGTTGACCGGGGCGTCCGCACCAGGCTTCAGCAGTGGGCTCAGCAAGCGCCTCAGCAATCGCTTCGGCAGCACGCTTAACGGCACGGCAAGGTTGTCCTGGGCGTCCGCACCAAGCTTCGGCCTCGGCCTCGGCGAGAGGAGTACGTTTACATGGTTGTCCGGGACGTCCACACCAAGCTTCGGCTTCTGGGGTACGCTTGCATGGTTGTCCGGGGCGTCCGCACCATGCCTCAGCGACTGGGGCAGCGACGGCGACGGCCTCACGCTTGCATGGTTGTCCGGGTCTAGAAGTATAAGTTAGCAATGAACTCTGTCAAAAGATAAATCTATGGGAAGGGAAATCTTACCTTCCGCACCATGGCTCTGGGACCGCGACGGCGGTGGCAGTAGCAGCCAACATGGCGAGAGCGATTGCGTTTGTGAACTTCATAATGAATGTAGTTTGAAGGTAATTGATTTTTAGAGTGAGAGTGGGCGTAAAATCTGAAAGATTGAATATGGGTAAGGGGAAAAGAAGAATCGTATCAAAAGCAACGAAGTTGACGTAATTTATAGATGATTTGATTTGGCGCTGTTCAAGATAAACAAGAAGACAAACCGGGCACTCCGTACCTGCGGGCCCAAAGAATCTTTGAAGAGATGTCTTTCTATTGAAGATTGAAGAGGAAGACTTCCTATAATGGGTCTCAATAAGTTCGGGAGCGAGAGCACAGGTGCTGAGATGACAAAGGCTTTGGAAACAAGTTCTTTGGAAGATCGATTACTTTATATACATAGAGTGGGTTCGACATGATGGTAAAAAGCGTAGCTCGGCGTTCAATCTATGCACAGAATTTTACAGAGTTTGGTGAAGCAATCTTTAAATTGATTGCAGAATCAATCATCATCTCAAGTTATGGCGTATTGAGCCAGCGTCAATTCCATTCCATCTCATTTGTAGATCCCTACACCTCATGTACTCGGTGCAAAATTTCCTAAATTCCCCGCCGTATTCACTCGCATTGCAGAAAATTTCTTCTACATCAAAAGACTTTTCTGGCACTAACAGAGAATCTAATCAAAATTCCAAAGAAGACTGTTTCAGATCCCATGAGGATATAATAAAGGGTTAATATCCCGTGACTTAGTCGAAAAAAGAAGTACTCTATTGAGCACTCCATTGAGATCTTATTGAGCACCCCTTTCATACTCGCTTAATGAAGAAGAAAAGCACAACACATGTTTTTTCTCAATCATCCCCTCGTCCCACCCAATGAATTGACATGAATCAACAGATAACGAGTACGAACTGAAGAGATTTTCAGACTTAACATGAATCTAGAAGACATCAAGAAGACATCAAGAAGACATCAAGAACATTCTAGAACGGGCTTATTACTAGAGCCGCAGGAGCTCGTTTGTTGGATAGGAGACTAACTACTTTCTTTGCTTGATTACATTGAAGCCAAAAAAGGCAGACAAGAAGATAAACATGAGGAAAACACACGATCTTCTTTAATGAGTTGTGATTGACAAGTAGAACTGTAATAATAGCCTCGGAAATATCGAGCAAATCGCGACAAATTCAAGGGCCTAGACGTGTTGAGAGATCGGGACGAGAAGATGAGATGTCAAGATCCAGGATTGGACTTGGTCTGATCCATGAGCTTTTACGAAGCGCGTAGGGACTATTTTGGGGTGAAAGAATTGTGGCTAAGTTTGTATAGAGCTTCAAACAGACCGAACGAACTATACTTGGGTAGCCACTGACTTACTTGGCGTCTCCTTACTGCAAAGTGCAATGTTAAAATATTCAAGTACCAAGGATCATGCCCTAGGGATCATGTGCAATCATCAATATGAACACAGGAAAAGACAGACATCCAAACCAAGAACTATGTGATGAGATCTTCAGAACCAGCCATTGACTTCAGGGCTTTGGAGCTAATTGACTCATGAATTGAAATGTGATCGAACTTTTTTCTAAGCTACAAATATTTTGTTACAACATCTACCCAGAATGTTTCCATGCTCATCGACCATTCTTCTTGTTTCTCCTTGTTGCTTTACCATTGCCGTTAATTGCAGTGGTCTTGACCTTCTCAAGAACTTCAAAATCATCAGCACCGGAACTGCTAGATGCTTCTTCAACCTCTTCATATTCTTCCTCGACTGGAGTTTTGTTCAAGACACGACCAATAGTTTTGTTGAAAGCGAAGATTGGTAAGCGGAAAAGAATAGTTTCTCTCATGGAAGGGGCAGGCAGCTCGTCAAGCTAAATGGTGAATTAGCAAAATGTTTAGAAAGAAATTAAGGAGTGACTTACATCAAGCAAAAACTCTCGATTTTTGCCATCCTCGTCAGCTTGTTCCAAGTAAACATTGTTGGCAGAATCGACCACGAGAATTTTCCCATTTTCAGCAACGACCCTCTTCTTTGGTCCAGTAATAGAGGTTGGAGTTCCTGGTGCTGACGCCTTAGACTTCTTGACTTTCTTTTCAGTCTTGTCAGTCTTGGAAAATTTCTCTTGCCTGCGTCGCTCTTTTCGATTCATTGGTTGCATAGGCTCGGCATCACCATCGGTATCGGTTCCAGGTGTAGCGGCTCCATCAAGGCCTGGAATGTTGAGATTGGGATTTCCACCCCATGCAGCGTTTCTTGCAAATGTGATGTATCTCTCAACAAACTCGCGCTGTCTTTTCCAACTCAAATAGAGGGCGAGATAATGACCTCCACCTCCAACGAAGATGAAGAGACCCACAAGCACTGAGCCAAAACCAGGACGGAATCGAGCATAGTAATATCCAGTGCCCTTCCACTTTGGGAATCCATTTTTCAAAAAGTGGTCGTAACGCGCGCGCCCCTCTCCCAAAAGAATCTTATTTATAAGACCCAAACGTGTGAATCGATCGCTAGCTTTTTGGTAATGTGCCTTGATTTCAGCTTGCGAAGGACCCTTTGAGACATTGGCACCAGACTTCTTGTTCTTGGACTTTTCGCCCTTTCCTGTAGATTTATCGGCGACGAATTGAGCCTTGACCTTATCAGGATGTTGAGTACGGGACTTCTTCTTGTAGGCAGCTCTTATTTCCTCTTGGTTGGCAGATGGTTTGATATCGAGGAGATCGTAGAATGTAACCTCAGGGCCGTCATGGGTAGCGACTTCGTTCTGCAGACGAAAGATTTCCTGATCTATGATTTGCTATGAGCTAACTGATACATTTGAAAGTGTGCAAGACGCAATTAAGGCAAGGAATTGGGCCGAAATTGTCCAATATTAATGGGATGGGCTATATAAGCCAACTCACCTTCTTTACTCCATGCCGCAACAAAGGCCAAAAGGCAGGCCAATATGGCGAAGGTGTAGAAAGAACCTCTCATCTTGCCAGAATGAAGAAGAAGTTAAGAGTATCAATTAGAAGAAGCACACGGATGATATGTCCCTGCTGTTATCAACACTTTCTTACTTTCTTAATTCATAGGAACTTTCTTCTGGTGGACGGAATTATATAAAGATGACAGCGAGATTTTTAGGATCCAGACAAGGATGACCGCTTAGTGGGATTCTGGACTTGAGTGGAATTTGGCTCATTGGGGGCAGAGTCGGTATAGGTATAGGTAGGTGTTCTTTGATAGGGTCAATGAGTTGAGAACAAACATAGCCAAACAAATTGATTTATATATAAGGTACCATTATACCTTTTTACATTTCACATTTCACATCTACAAGGGAGCTGTCTCCATAGCTAATAAGAGAATTGATTAAAGTGTTGTGTGTTGGGCCACTTGGGTGTTGGGAACTGGGTGCTATTTGCTTACTCATCCCTTTGGTAACAAGTCCATAGGTTGAGCGATGGGCAAATCTCATAGTTGCACAAATTTATGTACTTGGGTGTATAATTCTATGTATGATCTCCAAGGTTCTCTGCCTTGCTGTCTCCAATGATAAACAGGAACGAGTGGATTAGTCTTGAGATGGCTTCATGCATTATGCAAGTACACGCTTTTCCAATCTGCACGCTTCTCTCTCATGAGTCTCATCCCTCCATCCCTCCATCCCTTCCATCTCTCGTACATACTCGTACTTACTCGTCCATCGTCCATCGTCCATCGCCTTCCGAGCCTTCCAAGTTCTAAATCGGTTTACCCAAAGCTTCACCGCAACCCATATTAAAATCTGTACTACTGATTACTACTGATCCCACTTGGAACTCTCCATTCATCTTCTTCCCTTCCCCTTCCCCTTCCCCTTCCCCTTCCCCTTCTCAACTCTTCATCTTCTTCTCTTCCAGAAGATCTTCTATACAAAGTTTGACGACGGAACTTCTCGAATCTGCATGTGTTTCAGATCCCTTATTTAACCCCCCCCTGGCTGAACGCCCGGACTCTTCCTCTATTGAGGCTTTTGAAAATTCCTAATCTTCCTCCCCGGCAGCTCTTGCTGGGGATCATTTGCAGAAGGTGTAAGGGGCCAATCGTTCGTTTGTTTCCTTAAGGGATAAAATTTATCACGAAAGTTACTCTACGCAGAGAAAATCAAGTGCATCATCTATTAATAAAAGATTGATCTCTTGAATATTCATTCACTTCTACACTCACGTACGCAACTCATTCGTAAGTCTTTCTATTATGACCAATTGATATTCATTCACTCGCGATTTCTCTCTGGCTTGCATCCATTATCTCCTGCCTATTTGATGACGAATGCTGACCAGAGCTTTTTATATATATTGACAGATCTCTGAAACAAAGACACTTCAAGGGAAAAGATTTATCTTCGGACTTCTTACCCATCCTTCTTCCTTCTTCACAACCCCATTGAAAATACAAGAATCTTGAACAATTCTTCAGCGATTCGCAAACTAGCCTTCTACATTTATCAAAGTTCCTTCAAACATTTGGATTCTTCTCACCAACAGACATCATGTCTCGGATCAACATCCCCTTCGACATGATTTCGTCCAGATTTAATCTGTCCGACAGATTTTCCGGTGTGCGAGCACAATCTCTTTCTACGAGATTTGCCAACCTCAAGCCTGTCAATGAATTCTTCGATTTCAAACGCCTTTCCAAGCCGGCAAACTTTGGTGAAGTTCAGTCCAGAGTTAACTATAATCTTGGACACTTCGCCAGCAACTACTTTGCATTGTTCATCATGCTTAGTATCTACAGCTTGCTCACCAATCTCCTACTCTTGTTCGATATCATTCTCGCTGTAGGAGGAATGTGGGCTATTGGAAAGCTCGAAGGCCAAGATTTGAACTTTGCTGGTTTCCAAGCTACATCCTCGCAGCTTTACACTGGTCTTTTAATTGTCGCAGTTCCTCTTGGAATCATTGCGTCACCATTCACAACACTTCTCTGGCTCATCGGAGCAAGTGGAGTTAGCATCATAGGACATGCCTCATTCATGGACAAACCAATCGATGAGGCTTTTTCCGGGGAGGCGGT